CCCCCCCCCCCCAATCCGAGTTTTTGAAGCGTGCCTCACCACCTGTTGCTAGGTTCTGTTTCCTACAGTTTGTTTAAGGTTTTTATTTTCTGAAAGTAGGAGCTGGCCGCCTGTAGGTCGGCACTCTTGTTCGTTCTGACAACAATTACAGCGCTGCTGACTAGAAGACTTTTTGTGGCGGTTGTGGTGCTGTTATCTGGGTGCATGTATTTGGATTTGTGTGATGTGTTTGTGCTTGGATTTCAGAACCCGAGGTATCAGTGGAGCCGCTCGAGGACAGCTAGGAAGGTGACTTGTGCTAAAGGGGGTTGCAAGACAATCTTCAATATTGGTCCAGGAGTTGGCATTTGTGAGAACAATTACAGTTGCCATTATAATTATCCTCTTGTGGACCAGTCCGTTGTTCATGGCTTTGCAATTCGAGAACTGGTTGGACTCAAAAACGGTTTTGGCTTTGCATACAGCCGTGTCGGGTGAGTATTTACCTTGTCCCTTCTTCTTCTTCTTCTTCTTCTTCTTCTTTTCTTCGGCTGTATGCTCAATGGATGATTCTCACTTTCTAGGGCAAGAGTACATATGGTGAGAAGGATAAGGAAATTTACAAGCGCCCACCAGCAAGTAATGCCCCCTTCTGGACCCATCTCTCTCTCTCTCTCTCTCTCTCTCTCTCTCTCTCTCTCTCTCTCTCTCTCTCTCTCTCTCTCTCTCTCTCTCTCTCTCTCTCTCGCTCTGAGTGTCCATTCCCATAAACCTTCTGTCTCTTTTGGACCCAGAAGCCAGAGTTCGTTTGTCAACCTTGTTATTCGAAATCTTGCTGGTAAAGGTGAAGTCTTTATTCCAAATAGGCGTGTGCTCCGGCATATACGGGCTGAGACCCAATACCTTGTACTGATATTGTCCAAGACTGCCCTGGCAATGACACACTCCCACTGTAGAAGCAGTGAATCTTCCAGGCAGGGGTGAGGACAGACATCACCATGGTAGTGGTAGTAGGAATGCTGGAGTCAAAGCGCAGACGCTGCGAACCGCAAACGTTCACTTCCAAACTTCGGACCTTAACTTCTAAGGAAGAGACGTTTTGAATGATTCACTTCCAAACTGCCGACCTTGACTTCTAAGTAAGAGATGATTTGAATGATTCACTTCCAAACTGCCGACCTAGACTTTAAAGAAGAAGGGGAGAATGGTCAAGATTAAGGCTTTCCTTGGCCATGTTTGAAAACATCAACCTGTGAGGAAGGATGCACTCTAGGAACGAGTTTTCAGCCGATTGTCGATAAATACTCGTTCATATGTTCCGTGGAATTGGTGCCGGCAGGCAGTGTAAGTGAGGAGCCAGCCAGTCTTGGTTGCATTCGTTTTCCACTCTTGAGAATGGATTGGCGTACAGTCACACTGAAACCATAGGCTTACCTTGTTGAATGGATTTCTGGAGAACCCTCACTTCTTGTAGCTCTTTGTCTTTTAGGAAGAGCTGGTTATCTTCTGAGAGTTCTGTTTGGACACTGAGATGGACTATCTTTGGGAATCTCTCGTCAAAATGGTGAGGCAATGACGGGTACCGGAGCCATTGGGCCGATGGTAGGGAAGGGTTTGGTTGAAGGAGCGTGGCAAAACTGAACGCTACCGGTAGGGGATGGAGTCCATAAGCTCTTGTCTGGTATCTGCAACTTGGTGAATACCGAGTGGCGGTTAACGGAGACCCAAATTTTCAGCGTTTTTTCAATTATGAGATAACCCGAAGACTTGGCGGCAGTCCATGGAGTGTACTTCATATTAACAAAACCCCCCAAAAAAAAACAAAAAAAGAACAAGACAGGGTGAAAGTGGGAGTGCAAAAGGGCACAAATGAAAATTTGCGTTTCGGAGAACTTTCAGAATTTTCAGCGTTTTTTGGAAATGGTCCTTACATGCAATTCCAATCGACCAAAACACTTCAGAACATTAAGAAATGGTCACCACACACAATTCCAACAGTCTGGAAAAAAAAAACAAATCCAGAAAACCAAAAACGTGGCAAGAAAACAAGGTTTAAGCAATGGAAAGAGTTTACCTCATGAACCCCCCTAGTGTGAATACCAGGCGACTTGCCTCTCAGTGCTTCCTCTGAAATCCAAGAGTCGGGATTTGCTGTCCCATACTTACTCCGGTCGGAAATCAGCTAGAATTTTTTTTGTTCCCGTTTTCTTCCTGAGGAGAAGGTCGATGGGTGTTTTTCATACTTGCGGCGCACTGGTGCGGTGCGCGATGCGGTGCGGTGCGCCGTGCGGGATGCGCTCACCCACACCGCATGCGCATGTGCGCGGGTGTGCGCACCGGTTGCACTGTGTGGGATGCGCGTCAAAATGCGCCGCCGGGCAGGGGTGCGCGCTGTGCGCTGTGCCGTTTTCCTTTTCTTTTTTTGTTTTTGGTGTGTGTGTGTGTGTGTGTGTGTGTGTGTGTGTGTGTGTGTG